TAAGTCAGAAGCTTTAAAGCCAAGTATACTAGTTTTCTATTACTGTGGTAACCAATTGCTATCAATTGAATGGCTTAAACGACACAAATTTATTATTTTACAATCTGGAGGTCAGAAGTCCAAAATATGCTAAAATTAAGCTGTCAGCAGGTGTGCGTTCCTGGAAACTATAGGAGGAAAACCATTTTCTTCTCCTCTCCAGCTTCTAGACACCTCTCACACTCCTTGTCTCCTGGCTCCATCCTCCATCTTCAAACCCAGCATTGTCAAATCTCTCTACGACTTTCTTCCAGTCACATCTTCCTCCAACAATCTCTTGTCTTCCGTTTCCCTATTCCTTTCAAGGACCCTTGTAATTACATTGGGCCCAACGGGATAACTCAGGATAGTTACCCTATTTTAAGGTAAATTGATTTGCAATCTTAATTCCATCCGCAACCTTAATTTCCCTTTGCCATATAACCTAATGTATTCACAGGTTCCTGGCATGAGAATGTAAACATCTTTGGAGCCCCATTATTCTGCCTACCACACCAAGACAGTGTTCTTTTTCCATTTACTAGCTTCAATTTTCCAAAAGCACCTTAGTTCTCTTACAGTTTCTCAATACTAGGAAAAGAAACCATTGGAGAATAACAGTATAAGATTACTGGTAGCAACAATGTGCATTTCAGTTTTTGACCATAAGCTCTGAATCTACTGGAATGACCCTCATACCCAAAGAGAGATATGAATACAGCCAGAATGGCCACTGCCACATAACTGTGCTCCCAGATGCACGCAGCCTGAGATTCCTGACTCAGATCCTGGTAAACTGAAGCCATGGAACATGGAATCCAAGTGTGACTACCAGGATAAATGATACCTACAATCCAAGTTGGCTAGAAAAAAGGGCCCTCTCATTACAATTTAAAAAAGTTAAATCCTCTTGCAAAATTACTCCAATAAACTTAGACTCATTAATATTGTACAAGGCACTAGGTAATAAAGTTTACAGTCTTTTTAACATTAAAAGTGAAAAGTAAAATGGCTAAATTATAGTAGCCTAATCTTTTCATGCCATTACTGAGGATTGACAGGTTGGTTGTTTTAACAGCTGTACAATGCTTAAGCTCTAAGGATTCCAAATCTCAAATAATAAAAAGAATAACACTTTGCGTGAATGTTTTTATGACTATATCTCAGACATACTTTCTCACAGGAATTCTTGGTTAAAGATTATTATATTTCAATCAGGAGCCACAGAGTAAAAAATTACAATGGCTGGCTAAAGGTGCTATACAATCTGAAGCTAAATATGAAGCAAAGTAAATGTTCCACATTTGAATCTACTGTGTGACTTCAGGGATAGAAAAAAAAAAGTCCTTTATGGTGATTAGTATTTAAATCAGGCAAGTGCAATCACTGAATGCTAAAAGATAAATTATATGACAGCATATCAAGCCGACTCTACTATGGTCTCATGTCACAAAAAGGTTATGAGAGGTATATTGTTTCTTCTGAGCCTTGTTTTTTAACGCACAGTAAGCAATGCCAATTATGAAAAGCAGGCATCTCTTGGGTTAACCAACACCCTCAATTTCTACCTCTGTTCACCTGGTGACCCCTCCCCTTGCTCCCACAACACAGAATCTACTGTAAGAGTGGTGCTGAGGGCTGTTTCTAGTACCTATGGCTCTCACAGCATATCTGTATTTTCACCCAGCACTGCTCCTTAGCAACATTCAAATGGGCCAACTCTAAGTAAGATCTGACTTAGGAATGGGATAAGGTAGTGTCCCAAAAGGAGTTTTGCTCACAGACCCTCAAAGAATTCTGAAAATCTATGCACATATTTTTAAATAACATCTCAACATCCTTAACATAGTTAAGTGTAAACACTTGAAAAAGGGACATCTTTCTGGCGCTCTATGGCTGGTATGCTTGCTTCATATACATATGCATCAGAACCTCAGGGTTGCAGATTTAGCTCATTCAATATATGGAAAATGTCTGCGACACAACATAATTGGCAAAACCAATCCTCATTGACAGCCAATCAACCCAATAAGACTTTCTGTCAAGACAACTCCAACACTGTTGTTCAATCAAATATAAAAGATAGTCCTGGTGACAGCCATCTATCTTCTGGAAGCTAAAAGGAACAGACAGAAAAATACACCCCAGAGCCTTGTCACGTGCTCCTCACTTGGATGAATGGGGAGAATGAAAGAATTGGCAGGCATCACCCATGTTCAGAGGGAAATTAGTTTCAAGCAGAGTTGGAAGACGAGGAGCTGAAAATTAAAACCCTTGAAACATTCTATGCCCTGTGAAGTCTTGTGGGCCTAAGGGTATGTGCACAGTTTGGAGACTCCTGGGCAAAAGAATTGAAATTCCACTCTGAAAGCATCTAATATAATGCAAATATAAGGTGTTATTTTTAAACCAAAAGCCTCTCTGCATTTCTTTGAGGCATCCTAAGGCTTTGGAAATTTTTAAAACAGGTATCATGTTCTCTTCATCAGAATGGAGGGTCAACAAGAGATTATAATCTTGCTGGTGTGGCCAACCTAGTGTATAGTCTTGGATAAACAGTTCAGGGAGTCCCAGGAATTGGTTCTACAATTTCTCTGAGTGCTTTCGAACTTCACTGCTTTTGTTTTAAGCCTCTTCCTAATAATCTTTTAGCGTGTGTCTTAATCACCTTTACCCTGAAATTCCTAGGTCCATCCATGAGTTCATTATTGGGCCTTATGCCTATGTTCTGTTCTCCAGGGGGGTTGAAGAGGGCCTTTTACTGCCAGAAATAGAAAAACTTTCAAAATGATATACTAATAATAACTGGCACCTGTCAAGATTATCATATTGTGCCAACAGAGGAGCTGCTTATGCAAACTACTGTAAACTTGTACATCGGAAGACAGAGAAGTGTGTACAGTCACCTTGGAAATGCACTTTGAAAATATCTGTCTCCTAACATTTACGGGGTAAAGGTTGAAAGTAAATTATTGACAAAGGGGGGGAAAAACAGATGCAAGGAAGACAACTTTATTAGGTGCTTTCTCTCCCTTATGAGAAGGATTTGATTCTTTCAGGTGAAGTTCCAAATCACTAGACAATACCCAGTTTCCTTCAGTTGCACCAAGTTCATCCCACGGTGGGTGCTTTGAAAAGCACCTTGAGGGCGAATGGGTCTCAGGCCACTCATGATCAGGTCCGATGCTTTTGTTAGTTGAAGATTCTTCCCGTGTCACCTCTTAGAAGCAGTTCGGTGTCCCCCTCCAAAGAGCCCACCACCTGGCTGCGCCCCACCTCCATTTGTCCCCCAGCTGTCAGGTAAGGGTAACCCAGCCAGGTAAGGATGAGTGGTTCAGAAGATGCCGCTGCGGGGGCAGCCAGGCCTTCACACGCAATCACTGGGGAAGAGGCGAGGACACGGGTGGATGCTGGAGGCGCGCACGTGCGCAGGTGCTCGCGCATCCACACACACACACACACACACACACACAGAGGCACGGGGTGCGGGGCGAGTAGGGGGAGGAGACGGCCTTACCAGATCAATAAACGTCAGGAATTTCCAGCTCCCTCCGTAGGTCTGGTGCGAGGGCATTTCGATGGCCTTGTAGTTACACAGGATAGAGCAGTAGGACAGCAGGATTGCCACCCGCAGCACCTGGCAGGGGACAAGCGCCATGTTCGCCAGAGGCCTGGGCTGGCTGGGC